ACGAAAATGGCTTCAGAGCGTTGACCAGGGGATCACAGACGATTATGGATTCACCCAGGGCATCGGGGCTTCGAATTCATCTACCCGGCTCCTTTTGGCTTTCAAGTTGCTGTCTGCCACTGCCTATAAGACAGACAAGCGTCTCGTCTGCCCGGTGTAGCTGGCGACCCTGATCCAGTGCGCAACATGACTCGTTGTAAACATACTGGCTGGCTGCGCGTGGCCACCAAAGACCAGGCGTATGTCGTCGAAAGCTCGGATCGTGCCCAGAGACTGCTGGACAATCTGCCACGGCCGGACAGCCAATATCCGAGTACTCTCGTGCTGATAGGAAATGCCACCAAGCGGGTTGCCATGCAGAGACTCGGTGTGTACATCACCGCGCCCAACACGGCCAGGGGCCACGGCGAGATCCATCTTTCCGTCGCCCCGGTCGGCGCGTCCGGCGCAAGGCCGACGCTGATTGCCGATGCCGACATCCCGCCCCACAAGCGGCTCGGCAGGCCGAGAAAATCGACGCTCTGCCATGAACTCGTAGCAAGACCACTCTCGATCTCTCATGGTGCAAGCATCCCGTCCGCGATGCCGTCCGCGATGCCGTCCACGATGCCGTCCACGGCGGTGGAATGTGGCGACCATATCTATAATCGCATGCTTATCCCCTTTGCTGATGCTGTGTGTTTTTTTGCCGACGATATCGGCGGCATAGAGGTCGTTGCCCAGCGTCTTGCGTCGTGGCTGGATCTGGATACGCCGTCCACATCGTCGGTGCGGCCCTGGTTGGTGGTCGTCGTGAACGGCGGCGAAGAGGATTCCACACGAAGTCGCCTGCTGCAGTCCGTCCGCAAGAGGACAAACGCCCACGTGTCCGAACGATTCCACGGCGTCCGCGTCATCAGCCTGGCCGACAAGACGCCCAAGTCTCTGCGACGCCACCTTCGTTCCCTGCGCTGGGACATACTCAGCAATGAGCTTTCCTACATGACGGAGACCAAACGAGTCGAGCGCGTGCTCGCCAGCTGCCTCTTCTCGGCCACCCACCTCGCCGGCCTTCTCCGCCACGCCGCAGAGCACGTCGGCGGTGTCGGCGCGCCGCCCCTCGACTTCCTCGCCGTCTCTCGGCTGGACAACCCGGTGGCGGCGGATCTGCCGGCGCACCTCGCGCGGTTCCTCACGCACTGCGACTCCGTCGACGACCTGAAGAGATTCGCCGTGCCTGTCATCGCCTCCAGCTTCGTACTGGACCACTATCCTCCAGACATGCACCGTGCGTCTACGGGACCCAGCGCCCGAGGTCCTCACTAATAACTCGCAGTCTTTGATCCGCGCGACGTCTTCCAAATGTTCTACAAAGACGTGTGCCACAACGTGTGCGGCACCGCCGTCCTCGCGCACGAAGGGTCCACCGACTTCCTCTTGCCGTCTCAGTTCGCCAAGATGGTCGAGGCCCAGATGGCCCGCATGTTCCGGCAGCTGACGACGGGCCAAGCCGCGGCGTCACTTCATCGGCAGCTTGTCGCCGCCTTCACAGAGGACTGGGCCCAGCTTCGGTCTGACAGCACGTGCTACCTTTGTCTGCGGCGCGCTCCGCAGGTCTTTCCCGCGTGCGGCCACGGTCATTGCATGAACTGTGTCGAGGTGTTTGGCGTCGCGAGTGCGGCCGACCCGTGGCTCATCGAAGTCGCCGAGTGTATCCTCTGCGGGCAAAACGTTGACATGCAGATACGTGTGAAGCCGGACACCGCGTCGGTGCGGGTCTTGTGTATCGACGGCGGCGGGACGCGGGGCAAGTATCCCCTCAAGGTGTTGAAGCAGCTCGAAGACGACATCGGGCTGCCCGGCCATCCGGTACAGCAGAACTTTGACGTCGTCTTCGGGACGAGCTCAGGTATGTCGCGGGATGCTGTCGTTGTTGCAGGTGCACATGTGGGTGACTCCCCTGGCTGACCGATCGTGACAGGCGCCATCAGCGCTGGTGCCCTCTGCATCAACGGGTGGACGGTGGACGAGTGCATCGCCCGCTTCGAGTCCCTATCGAACCACGCGTTCACGCCTCGCGGGGTTCCGTCTGTTCCCATCATAGGCCCTCTCATACGACTGATGATGCGGGTCCCCTTGTTTGCCACAGTCGTGCGCGTCGCAGCCTTGCTTCTTCTTGACAGCAGGTATCCGTCGCAGCACATCGAGAAGGCTTTGCGAGACATGTTCGGCTCCGACAGAGGCATCGCCGACTACTCGGCCGCCGACACGATGGGTGCCATGGTTGGCATGACGGTCGCGACCGTGCAGGACGCAAGCGCCTGCATCTTCACCAGCTACAACGGAGAGGGCCACCGGGCCGGCGATCGCGGTAGCCTCCCCGTCTCCGTCCCCGTCTCCGTTGAGGCGATTCGAAGCCCGCGAGCCGATGCTGACAGGCTGTATAGATTATGAACTCTTGAAGACGACCGCCGATGGGGGCCGCGTGGCTTTGTGGGAGATGTGTGTGGTTTCCCGCGTGTTTCTATGTGAGGGCTGTGTCTTTCGGTGACTAGATGGCTAATCCGGTTTGCAGTGTCCGATGTGCAACCGCTGCTCCGTAGTCCGTGCCAGCCCTTTCTTTTCTTTTCTTTTCTTTTCTTTTTTTTTTTTTTTTTTTTTTTTTTTGGTCTTTTTTCCCTTCTTTTGTTCCGTCTCGCTCTCTTTTCGCCATCCTACAATTGGGCGCCGCAAACAATGACTACAAACGAGTGCTGCGATGACTCGCCGCTAACAATGGTATAGCTATTTCACGCCTTGGTCTATTGACGGCCTCGGCACGTTCCAGGACGGCGGCTTAGTGGCCAACAACCCGTCCTCGATCGCGCTGCAAGAGGTGGCCTCCCTTTTCCCTGAAGCGCCATACCCAAGCCTTCTGGCCTCGATGGGTACTGGCTCCTCCTCGAGCTCGTCCGGCGGCGGGTGGTGGGACTGCTTCCTCCTCCGCCTGGCGCGAGCGTTCCGGAACCGCAACAAGAACGACTGGCAGCGGGTCGTCGCACAGAAGAAGGTGGGTCGATCCGGCGAGTTCTTCCGCTTCGATGTCGAGTTCGACGGCTCCGAGCCGCCATTGGACAGCCTGTCCAGCTTCGACGATGAAAAAGATGATGGGTGCACCTTTGAAGGCCTCCCCGCCCTGAGACGTCTGAGGCTGTGCGCGAGGGCAGAGCTGTTCATCTTTGAGCTGCGTGCTTCGAAGCCGTACCTGTTTTCCGATGGAGGGTACGAGTGCTGCGGACAAATACGATGCCGGCTGAGCGCCCGCTCTGAAAGCCTGACTGAGTTGATGCGGCAGCTCGCCAGAAGCAAGGCGTACTTCCGCGTCGGCGGCCGTAAAGTAGCTTGTGATTTTGCGTCATACCCGGCAGCCTTTCCAGATGGTCATTTTCGTCTGGACGTGAAGTTTCGCGTGGCCAGTTTGCAGGAGTCGCTCGCCGTTTGCCTATGGGAGACCGCCGACGAGGGTCGCGACATCAGCGGCTCGCCGTTTACCGTGCAGCAGCTGGTGCGGAGCCAAAAGCTCGAGCAGTGCTTCGGCACCTCCGATCATCGTCAGAAACGGCGTCGCGACGACGACGACGACGACGAAGACACAAGCCGTAAGCAGCCGAGATTGAAGCGGTAGGGGGTGTGTTCGGTAGGTTCGGTAGAAGAGGAAAAGACGCACGACGAGTGTCTGGATTGATACGTAACGGTAGTGCAACTGAGAAGAATAACTGTTTGGTGTAAAGCCCACTGTGGACGGAGACGGATCCACACGGTTGCCCTTCGTCTGCGTTCTGCATCCATGGCACTCTGCTTTGTTCCACACACTTTTCTTTCCTGGCGTTGGCTGGTTCGTTTGCGAGACCTGTTGTACCGGGGCCAAAGGATGACATTCAGTAACAAATTAGCCGTTGGGCCGTGTTCAATCATCTCCCTAGGAGTCATCGGGCGTCCTGGCACGATGGAGCGCAGCCCCGAAGTTGGGTCCCCTGACTTTGTACGTGCCATATGCTGAGGGGTACAGCTATGCCCGGCGCAGATGAACGCCAAGCACTTGGCTGGCGAGAGATCCCAAAGCGTTGCAAGACGAGTTTGTTTTCGAACGACTGCACCTCAGCTTTCGTCTCGGACGCTTCGACTTCCCGCCCTCTGCACTTTCCCTAGCAACCTCTTGCGTATTTCGTCTGGACTCAGCCCTTCGAACGTCGGACGAAAGAGTATGCCTTCATGTTTGATGGAGCCACAGTCCTGAGCCGAGTCGGACCAGTAGCATAGCTCTCCCTTGTTGTTGCGGCATCCGTACACAGCTTGCCGCTGGTCGCGCGAAGATGCTAGCCAGCCGACATGTGCGTACTCTAAAGGCTGAGCTTTCTTGACGTGTCCTCTTTGTGATAGTTTTCGTTTCGCTTTGTTCTTTCTGGACGATTGTCGTGAGGATTGCTCTTTGTCGTTCGGGTATGGTCGGGGACGTTGGTGCTGCTCGAGTCGAGATGCTGCCTTCGTGACTATAAACTCGTCAGCGCCCGTTTTCTATGCGTACACAGTACGTACTTGTCCTTGAACATAAGAAGATCACGTCGTTGTCGGAGTCGTGGCCCGGTGGCGATGTCGTCGTCGTTGCCGATGCCACGGCCATTGGCAATGCGTCTGCGGTAGATGCTGATGTGCACCACGCACCGGGTCTCGAGCCTAGAAATATCACATCATCGCCGCGACCATCACCCGAAGTCAACGCCGTCGTCCTTGTTGCCGATACCATATCCATTGACGAGGTGTCTGTTGTCTGTGATGCATGCTAATATGACACCGCAACGGACGGCTGGTGTTTTCGTGGGGATGCCCACAGAAGCTCGGACCATGTCAGCCATCCCGTCCTGCACCAATCAAGACAGGCGGGATGCTCGTTGCGGGCCGTCCACTGTCACGCTGGTGACAAAACACGCATACCTTCACGTCTACCACTTTCAAGTCAATTGCTACCAGATGACCCATGATGTAGAAGTTCTGTAAGTCTCTGGCTCACTATTCGAGACTGTGAGTATCTACTCTGAGTTTTCCCCCTGTGTTTCGTGGCACAAGTGAATGTGCTGATGTCGTGTTGTTTGGGTATGGGTTTCTCAATGGTGCTTGGACAATGTGCGGGATTTTTGTCACCCGCTTGCATGCGTTCGTCAGAAACACATGTCTGATCACACAGGAACGCTGCCTTGGCACAACAGCGCGCTGTCGGCCTACGCTGAAGACCAGGGGTCGACATCACACAAGCAGTCAGCCGGACAAACACGTGAGGCTCTTTGTAAGTGTTTGTAAGAGGAAACGTGATCGATCATAACAGGATGATGCAGAAGCCGAAGCTTGTGTGCACATTCTCTCCTGAATTTCTATGTAAATGCCAATTTGATTCTCGTGCCGAATGAGATGCGCCGCCAATCAGGGCGAGTTGCGACGGGATGCAAGCATCGTCCTCAACAGCTCCATCAAACCGCTCGTTTCCCTCACACAATGCAGACGCAAACAACCACGCAAAGGATTCCTTATGTCGACTTGGTCATGAGTTGGCCGGTTGGATGAACGAAACAAATTGTTTCGAGGTAACGACTATCAAGTCAGCGGTGGCTAAAAAGTGGGGGAGGCTTTGGGGGCGGGGGTTTCCAGTGAGGAGTTCCCTACGTGGTTCTTGGTTGGTGCCGTCTTGTGTGCTCTTGATCGGGGCGCTACGGCTCCAAACCTTTGTCGTGATAGACAGTGGCGGGTTCTGTGTGGACATAGCGATCATCAGGTACGTCTTATGCAAATCTGCCAAGAACTGTTCGTCTGGGCGA